TCATCGTCATCATCAACGTCGTCATCATCAGCATCAACATCATCATAATCATCATCATCATCATCATCATCATCATCATCATCATCATCATCATCATCATCATCATCATTTGCAGCAGCAGCAACGGTACCACCAGCATCATCCCGATGTCCGGCAAGCCTCGGGCGCTCAAACGAACTCCCCGGGATCCCCGCGCAACTTTTCCAGTGGCCTCGGTAGCGTGGTTTGGACTCCCCGCGTGCAACATGACCTGAGATGGTTTCGGGGCCCTCGTGGGCGCCGTTTGGGCAGTTTTGGGGGCTCTGGGGATCAGCGGGGTCGCCCCAAGACGACCTCCCAAAAAAGACCCCAATGAAAGCCCAAGACGGCCACGAGAGGGACCCAAGAGGGGGAACCCGAACCACCAGTTCGAGACAGTGCTTCTATGATAGTCCCCAGAAGCGCCCGCGGGCCTGAAACAGGCCTCGAAGAGGCCCTCTCTGCTATTACCCCAGCGGTTGCCCCGATAGCGGGGGGAAGACATCCCACTAGCGTGGCCGGAATTTCGCTCGACACTTCAGGGCTCAGGCGCTTCAGACAGGCAGGAATCGCCGATGACTCGCAGCAGGCGTCCTCGGTACATCCGAAGACATGGGTCGTTTGGGACCACCACTCACGTAATTTGAGCACGCACAGCACTGGCAGCAATCACTGGGACTTCTGTCTGCCACTGAAAAGCATGCATATTGGTTACACCGCCGAGGGCATCTCCGACCGCATGTGGAAATCTGTAACACACAATTAAGTCACACGCCAGAACGGCGCCCAGTGAGGTCGCAATGGCCCGCCCTAAACATTCGCTATGACAGCGCTGCAACTGATAAGTCACATGGAAGCATGGTTGGCTTCGGATATAACTCAGGCATGAAATCATGAGCCACCACATCTGCCCCCAGCATGCTTCTGGAGCATCTCCACCACCCATAAGTTGATCGGTCCGAAATCGCGACAACGTTGGGAACGGCAAGAGCTGCTGTTGCCAAAATAATCAGAAAGGTCGCTGCTCCGGGAGGTTCTAACTAAAAGAATGAATACGCACAGCCGCGCAACGCATCGCAAACAGATAGCCGCATGGCAACGCGTGATGATACAGTGATTACTCTAAGCATCGAAATAGTCTAAGCGCAAACGTGCACACACACACACACACGCACACACACACACACACACACACGCACGCGACACACACACACACGCTTTTTTCTCCAGCGCCAAAATAGCGACACCATCGCGACCACTAAGCCCGGGCATGGTTAGTCGAACTCCACCTAGCGTAGCAGTTGGGTGGACTGGAAGGGGCAGTCGCGAGCAGACAGAGGCGCCGAAGCGCAGCGTGCACTTACTTGGAAGTCGCGGCCAAGTGGAAGCGTCCGAATGCCGATGAGCCGGCGCACCGCGATGACAGGATTCGAGTAGGAGATCGACTACAGAATTGATTTCCCCCGAGATTGAAAGATCTGTCGATCCTACCGAAAATACGCGGAGGTCTTGCACATCGGAACGCGTTCTACACAAGTGGTGTAGATCCGGCGAGGGAAGAGAACAGTCCTGGGGCAAATCAGAGCGAGAAGCCGGGAGCGCAACCGTTGTGCCGCTGCGGAGGCGGGGAGCGCAACAGCACCAGCACCAGCACCATCAACCTCACCATCGCATCAGCATGGGTGTTGTCACCGTGGGCATGATCGTGCTCATGATCGTGACCATATCATCGTCAGCAACAGCAGCATCAGCAGCAGCATCACCACCCTCTCTTCTCCAACGCTGCCCATTCTCACACTCCTTCGTGGCCACCCTCCCTCCGTCTTGCCTCCCCTGCTCCTCTCCCTCCTTCGTCATCCTTGCCCTCCGCTGCCTCATCTGACCCGTTGTCCCTCTCCCTCTCCATCCATCCACCACCTCATCACTCCTCCCCCTCCCCCCCTCTCTCGCCCAACCTCCGTCCTCCCCTTCCCTTCTCACTGTCCTCCCCCCGCCTGCCCCCATTCCCCCCCTCCCCCCCGCTCTCCTCGTCCTTCCCCTCCCTCGCTCTCATGGTCCTCTGGCTCCCCTCCTCCTCCTCCCCCTCCTCCTCCTCCTCCCCCTCCTCCTCCTCCTCCTCCTCCTCCTCCCTCCTCTCCTCCTCCTCCTCCTCCTCCTCCTCCTCCTCCTGCCTGCTTCTTCCTTCGCGCACCCCAAACCCACTGATCATGGCCAGGGCCGCGGCGAGGGCGAAGTGCGTCGCGACGACGAGGTCGCCCTCCTCTTCTGCCTCTTCGCTCCTCGTCCCGGCGGCGTCCTCTGGCCTCCGCGCCCTCCTCTTACTCCGAGACAGGGCGGCCCGCAGCGCGGCAACGCATCGAGACCCGCCACGAGGCGCCACCCAGTCGGGTGTTCCTAGAAGTGCCCCTGGCCCATGGTGCCCCCAGGATTCTCGGGGTGACCCAGACGGCCTCCAGAGCACCCCTAACGAGGCCCAGAGGGCCGCAGGGGCCCAAAAATGGAGCGAAAAGCTGGGGGCACCTTGGGCCAGGGGCACTTCTTGCAACACCCGACCCAGGGAGGGGGCCAGGGGCCGAAGCCTGAAACTCAGACTAAGACGAAGCCAGGAAGAGGACAAAACCGGGCGAGGACAAATCGAGAGCCTCTGAGATCTGGCCGCTCTGGAGGGCGTCTCGGGCGCCGCGACCTTCTCAGAGCGTTCCGGAACTCTCTGAAAGCGTTCCGGAACGCTCTGGAACGGATTTATCCCCATCCCAGCCCCTTCCGACAGACCCCCGACGTCATGATTTTTTGCACACAACGGCGACCCCCAGAGCTCTCGGCACATTCCCCGGGATTGGCTTCTCATCCCGAGTCATTTTGGGGGATGGTCCCGGGGCCCAGCGAGGGCCCCCAGAGGCCGAAAAGAGATGCAGATTTCCCGTCGCGACTTCCTCGTGACCCGAGGGGGTCTCGAAAGGCAGACGCCGGAAGCCCCCCAAACATCCGGCTGCTCCAAATTTTTTGGGTGCGTGGACCCAGGAGGCCCAGACCACTTCTCCGGGACCCGTCTTTCGTCCTGAGTCGTTTTCTGACGCTCCCGAGGCCCGGCGAAGGCCCCCAGAGGCCGAAAACGCCCAAAATCCCGCCGCTCCAATTCTTTTGGAGCGTCGGATCTCAGGGCCTGGCGCCGCCACCTCCCGCCGACCTGCCGCCCGCGGAGGTTCCATCCTTCTCTCTCTGCGTCCGCGGCCTCCTGCCGCCGCCTGCCGCCGACAACATCCGCCCGCGGAGGCGCCCTCGTTCTTTTTGCTCCCGCCGGCGTACGCGCCGCCCTCCGCCGAGGAGGAGGAGGAGGAGGAGGAGGAGGAGGAGGGCGGCTTCTCTCCAGTCGGGGGCGCGCAAGCGTGGAGTCGCGATCCGTGGAACTGGCGCGCGGTCGCCAAGTCCATGGATCGGGGGAGGTGCCCTCCCCAGAATGCGGCCGGTGCCGCCTCGCTCGGCGGCGGAAGTCCGCGATTTCCCCATGGAAGCGGGACCCATCGCCAATCCACGCCCCCTTACCATCCATGCGTGCGATCGCCTGAGGTCCAGGCCCCGAAGGGCGGACGCCTCTCAAGGAAGCCCCAGATACGGCGAGACCAGATCATGAGGAGGCGCGGTAGTACAAGGCAGAAAATCCACCCCTATAATGACCACCCCGACACGCGAAGCCGTTTAGTAAGCGCACCCATAGAAGGAATCAAACAGGGCAGGATTGTTTAGTAAACGCCCAAGGTCGTTTCGTAAACGCAAATTGTCCGGTCCATATGGTTATTCCTCCCTTGAGGTAGGGACGCCAGGTCCGCGGACGCCCGAAAACTGAAGACGAGCTTGGCGGCCCGTGGCCCGTCGTGGCTGATGGTTAGAGTGGGCCGGCAGGCCAGGATGGCACGTAGCGAAAGGTTGCCCTTGGAAAGATACTCAGAACTCCCCAGACCCCCGACGTCTTGACTTTGCCACGGCGTCGACCCCCAGAGGTCTGGGCCCACTCCCCGCGACCGGATTCTCAGCCTGAGTCATTTTTGGACGGTCCCGAGGCCCGGTAAGGGCCCCCGGAGGCCGAAAAGGGCAGAAAAGCTCCCGTCATGTTTTGGTTTCACGACGCGAGGGGGTCTGGGTAAGGGTACCCTTGGAAAGATACTCATCACCACGATGAAGCTCCACAGCCTTGACCCCTTCGCAGGTGGCATGTTGCCACAGCGTGGGCCCCCAGAAGTCTGCGCCTTCGCAGGGGCCGCGACTTCGCCCCGAGCTGTGTTCAGTCCTCCTCCTCCCTCCTCCTCCTCCTCCTCCTCCTTCCTCCTCCTCCTCCTCCTCCTCCTCCTCCTCCTCCTCCTCCTCCTCCTCCTCCTCCTCCCCCCTCCTCCTCCCCCTCCTCCTCCTCCTCCTCCTGCTCCTCCTCCTCGCCTCCTCCTCCTCCTCCTCCTCCTCCTCCTCCTTCTCCTCCTCGTGCTTGGGAGTGCTTGGGAGTGCTTGGGAGCGCTTGGGAGCACTTGGGGATGCCTGGGAGCGCCTGGTTAAGCTTGGGAGTGCCTGAATGAGCAAAAACCCTGCCTCGTGATTGATTTTCAGCTGCACGTAAGAGTGACCCTGGGTAAGATGGACCTTTGGCGCGCGGCTTCAGGGGGGGCGCGAGGGGGCCAAACCCGAGCGTGCAAGCCGCTGCAATCGCATCGCGTTCGGCGATCGGGGGCCCCCATATGCCCGCACAAAAAGTCACTCGGGCGAAGGGTCAGTCTCACGCACGTGTAGTCGATTCTTGCAGCGCGAGGTCTGGGGTCGCTGGCGGCCGTTCGAGACGTTCCAGGCACCCCTGGAACGCCCGCGGCGAGGCGCAGCTGTTGCAAAGCTCTCCCGAGGGGAGAAGCGAAGACCGCCAGGAGCCGACGAAGACCGCCCGCGGAACCCCTCGGTCGTGACGTCGCCGAGACGCGAGGAAGGCTGGGAGTCCCTCCGCCCGCCTCCCCCTTCACGATGGTCACGGGCTCCAGCTCCACCTTGTCCGCGATAGCGGGGACCGTCCTCCGGTCGAGCGGGCTGGCGGCGAGGCCCCTCACAGCTCGTCGCCACCGTCGTCCTCGCCCGTCGTCCTCCTCGTCCTCCTCGTTCTCCTCGTCCTCCTCGACCTCGTCGTTGCCGTCAACGTCGTCCTCGTCGTCGTACCCGTGGGCGTCCTGGTCCTCGTCGACTTCGTCGTCGTCCCCGTCCTCGTCGTCGTCGCCATCGTCCTCCTCGTCGTCGCTGCTGTCGCCATCGGCCTCCCCGCCGTCCCCGTCGCCCCACCCCCCTCCTCCTCCTCCTCGTCGTGCGGGGGCGCAGCCAGCGGGGGGAGGAGGCAGAGAGGGGCGAGGATCGAAGGAGGGGCGAGGGAGGGAGAGAGGCAGGAGGGAGGGGGAGAGGCAGGAGGGAGGGAGGGAGGGAGGCGGGGAAGAAGGGCCGAGGAAGAGAGGGAAGTGGGGGAGGGGGGCCGGGGGGGGGGCAGGCAGAAGGGAGGACGCAGACCCCAGGCATGAAGGGCAGGGTGGAGGGAGGGCCATGGCAACGAAGGGGCAGCCGAGGTCCCCTGCGGCCCAGCTGAGAGCAGAAGGCAGCAAGGAGGGAGGCGGGAGGCTCCCCGGCGGGAGGGAGGCTCGGAGGAGTGCCACTCGGGACAGCCGCGGCCCTGCGTTCGGAGTCCGTTTTGGGGGGCTCGCGGGGGCCTCTCGCAGCCACGGCTGGATCTGCCTCTCGTCCTGAGTCGGTGTTGGACGGCCCCGAGGCCCGGCAAGGGCCCCCGAGAGGCCGAAGGTAGCGTCAGGTCGGGCATGTCCCCCCTACGGGCGACTGAGGTCGAGCCAGGGGACGCGCCGAGGTCCGAGGGGCGCTCAGGTGTTCTTGCGTAGATTCCTGGGAGTGATCAGTTGAAAAGGGGGGAGGTGCTCGCACCCCCCCCCCCTTCCCCCCCTTCAAAGGGGGGTGAGATTTTCGACCCCCCCTCCCCCCTCCTCCCCTTGTGGGGGGGGGGGGTCCGAACCCCCTCCCCCCCCATCCCCTTGAAGGGGGGGGGGGAGTCCGGACCCCCCCCGCTTGGCGCTGGAAAGGGGGGGGGGTCGGACCCCCCCCTCCACCCCCCTTTGCGGATTTTGGATGAAAAATCAAACGTACCCCAACACATGCTCCAAAGTGGTCAGAAGCAGTCGAAGCACCGTCCCCAGACTATCCCTCCTGAGGGACAAGCCCGACTTGAAGACAGCGAAGCACCTCCCGCCGTGATTTTCGCAGGGCGCGCGAGGGGGGGTCCGGGGAGGGGCCGCAGGGGGTCCGGGGACAGGCTGCCGAGCGGCCGTGAGCCCGGGCGGGGGGGCCGCCGTGGCCTCAGGAGCTGGCCCTGCGCCGGAGGGGAGGGGAGAGGGGGGGAGGGGATGGGCCCGTTTTCCACCACCACCACCACCATCACCACCACCACCACCACCACCACCACCACCACCACCACCACCACCACCACCACCACCACCACCACCACCACCACCACCACCATAAGTTGGAGTGGGAAGGGGTCCTCCTCCTCCTTCTCCTCCTCCTCCTCCTCCTCCTCCTCCTCCTCCTCCTCCTCCTTCCCCCCATCCAACTTATGGTGGTGGTGGAAAACAAGCCCATCAGGAGGGGAAGGTCGAAAGAACAGCGTGTTGGGGCCCTCGTGGACGCCCGTTGTGCCGTCTCCGAGCGTCGGGAGCGGAGCCGGCGACCGCGCGAGAATCGACGGAAACCCAGGAGAAAATCAATGATGTGTGCGCGCCTCTTGGGGCCGTTTCGGACAGCAGTGGTGGAGCCTTCTTGGGCCGTCGTGGATGCCTCGTCGGCCGCATCGAAGCAATGGTGGGCGTGCTGGGGCCGTTTTCGAGCCCTGTGGCCCTTCTTTGGCGCCTTTTTTGTGGCGTGTCCAAGCTCATTTGGAAGGCCACCTGGGGGCCTCTTGGGCGATTTTGGGCGCCACTTGGGCCGTCTCCGGGCGTCGGGCAAGCGGAGCAGGCGACCACAAAAAATCCTTGGAATGAGCCCAGCGCGACCCCAATTAGGGGAAAGCCTATTGCATGGGCGCATCGCTGGGCGCATCGCTGGGAGCATCGCTTGGCATGGGTTGACATTGCTTGGCACTGCTTGGCATGGGTTGGCATTGCTTTGCATAGGTTGGCATTGCTTGGCATTGCTTTGGGCAACCGGGGGCGGTGGACCCGAGGAACCTGGGGAACCCGAAGAACCTGGGGAACCCGAAGAACCTCCGAGGAACGGGCAAGTTAACAATAGGAGGCAACGGTGGCGGGGAACCCGAGGAACACGGGGAACTCGATAAACCTCCAGGAAACGCGCAACGTAACCACTGGGGGCAGGGAACCCGAGGAATCCGAACCTCTGAGCAACGGGCAAAGTAGCAATAGGAGGCACCGACCTTAAACCAAGTAAGAGCCCATTAGGCAAGCCGAATTAGGGAAAACCAAAAGGAAATCTACGATTTTCGCTCCTGGGGTATCTCTCGTGGATCAGCTTGACGCTCCCTTGGGGCGTCTTGGGGGCAATGGTGCGCGTGCTGGGGGCGTTTGGGGGCGTTCTGGGCCCCCTTGAGGGCCCCTTTTGGCGCCCTTGGGGCCCCCTTCAGAGCCCCCGTTGGCTGGTCCAGGCTCGTTTGGCCCCCCATGCCACACTCAGGCAGCGGTCCAGGCCCCGGGCCTCCCCCCTCGTTCGGCCCCCCATGCCACACTGAGGCAGAGGTCTGGCCCCCCCAGGGCCGACTCATATAGATATGACAGATCGACAGATCGATAGATCTATTGATAGATAGATGGAGAGATAGATAGATAGATAAATATATAGGTAGATATCTATATACAGATATATAGATATATAGATTGATAGATAGATAGATAGATAGATAGATAGATAGATAGCTAGCTAGATAGATAGATAGATAGATAGATAGATATCGATATATAGATCGTTACACATGTATATATATAGGTATATACATAGAAATAGACAAATAGATAGACAGACAGACAGACGGACAGACAAACAGACAGATACAACGATAATGCAAACCTCGGCACGCCCACCTAGCACGAGGCGCCCACGGGCGCACACCAACCAGGCACCCGCCGAAAACCTGGCCCACGCAACTGATCGAGGGCGCGCCGCTGAATCTCCCGAAGGGGGTTGGGGGTGGGAACCCCTCTCCCCCCCACACTTTCCCCGATCCGTCGTCTGGGAGCCCCCCCCTCCCCCCCCCTTTCCCGATCCGTCGTCGGGGAATCCCCTCCCCCCCCCCCCTCTCGCCACGGCGCCCCCGGGCTCCCTCCGGAACCTGACCCCCACCACCCCTAACACTAATCCTCACACTTACCCTAACCCGTATACCTAACCCCAAACCCTAATCCTAGCCCCGAACAGCACTCATTACTCATTACGCACTACTCACTACCCACTATTCACTACTCGGTACTCACTACTCACTTCTCGCTACTCACTACTCAACACTCACGACTCATTACGCACTACCCACTACACACTACCCACTACCCACTACTCACTACTCCCTACTCCCTACTCCCTACTCACTACTCACTACTAACTACTCACTACTCGCTACTCGCTACTCAATACTCACAACTCACTAAGCACAACTCACTACCCACTACTCACGAATCACAAATCGCTACTCACTACCCACTACCCACTAACCAATGCCCACTACTCACAACTCACACTTCACTACTCGTACTCAGTGCCCACAACTCACTACTCACTATCCACTATTCGCTACCCGCTACTCCCTACACAGTATGCAGTTATCACTACTCGCTACTCCCTACACCCTACTCGCTACCCAAGACGCACTATTCACTACCCTTTACTCACTACTCACTACGTTCCCACTACTTACTGCTCGCTATTCCCAACTCCCTACTCAAAACTCCCAACTCACTACTCCCTACTCACTACTCACGACCCAGTACTCAGTACTCACTAGACACTACCCACTGCTCACTAAGCACTACTCACTTCCCACGAACCACTATCCGCTACTCACTACTGACTGAATACTCAGAAATCACGACTCACGACGCACTGCCCGCAACTCACCATTCACTATCCGCTGCTCGCTACTCGCTACTCCCTACTCCGTCGACAGTACTCGCTGCTCACTACTCACTACTCACTACTCGCTACTCCCTACTCGCTCCTCGCTACCCAAAACAAGATATTCACTATCCACTACGCGCTACTCACTACTCCCTACTCCCTACCCCCTAGTCACTAGTCACTAGCCGCAAGTCGCTACCCACTACTCACTACTCATTATTCACTACTCACTACTCACTACTCACTACTCACGATTCACTACTCACTACACACTACTCTCTACTCGCTACTCCCTACTCACTACCCAGGACTCAATACCCACTTCTCACTACTCACTACTCACTACTCCCTACTCACTACTCACGAGTCGCTACTCCCTACTGGATACGCACTACTTCTTTCTCACTACTCACTACTGACTACTGACTACTCCCTCCTCACTACTCACTGTTCACAACGCCATAGTCGCTACTCACTACTCACTACTCAACTCGTTACTCACTGCGCTACTCGAGACCCCCCCTTTTGCGGGAGAGGCCCCCTCCCCAGCCCCCTGTTCGGCGCGTTCCCTGGCTTGTCCACTGGCGATTTCCCTGCCCCTTCTGTGGCGTGCCTCTTGCCGCGTCCCCTGATATCTCCTAGTGCGCCCCTGGCGCATTCCGTGGCGCGCCCACGCGCCCTGCGCCCCGTGGCGTCTCGCCCCGCATCAGAACTGAGTCGGATCTTGAGCTCGAGCTGACTCGGCGCCAAGGGTCAGGCCTCGACCCTCGGACCTCAGGCGAGGAGGTCTGGGCCTGGGGATCAACAGTCGACCATTGGACCTCCCCTGGGGTGCGGTCTGGCCAAAATTTCGCGGCGGATCCGGCCGTGGCGACGAGATGCCCGGCACATGGCAAAACTGCAGCAAC